TACGAGCGCATGTGTGTGTGTGCGAGCGCGTATATCGAGACGAACACGATCGTTGCCACTGGGCAGCAGCGAGCAAGAAAGCCAATCGACTCTATAATACAAGCGATCCTGCGCGATCGGTTATAATTTTTTACCGTAAAAAAATCAGTGAAATAAGCAGTGTTTGATTTGTAAAATATCTCTCGGTACACGTCGGTTGCAAATTGCTGCAGCGCTGCACTTTACACTGGAACCGTGCTGGCTCGGTTTTTGTCTGTCTTCGTGGATAATAACGGACCGCGCGCGGCCCATTTATATAAATAAAAATATTGAGCGAGAGAGAGCTAAAAGTACAAACTTCAAATGAGCAGAAAACACGCAATCGCACGAAGTAGACAGCAGCAGCAGCAGCAGCAGCCACAGACACACAGCAAAGAAAAAGGAGAGTAAAAAGAGCGCAGGAGCAACGAAAAATCATTAGACAGTTCATAATCGGACTTTTTCAACACAAAAGCGCTTGACGATACACACACCCATATATTGCACTGGGTGCCGGTGTATATAACTCGCGGCACTGCTGCTGCTCTGGCCATATAAATGCGCGCGCCCATCTCGCGCGTTGTCGAAAGCCTCCCTCCATCGTTAGTATAGTTATTTTATGAGTTGCAAGAGAGCGAGCGATAAACAGCTCTCCGCCGAGGATTCCTAGTCTTTAGAAAAGAAAATAAAAAAATAAAAAGAGAGAGAGAGAGAGAGAGAAGGGAACTCGAGGCAGAAGAAGGCACAAACCGCAGGTTCTTTTCTTTCGGCTCGGCCATATATATACTGCTTTTCTCCTGTCTTTCTCTGTCTCTCTCTCTCTTTTACTTCTGGAAATCTGCCCTTTTGCAGCAATTTCCAAAGATTATAATAACAATGCTCTCTGCCGCTGCTGCTGCAAAGGAATGCCAGTCATTCGGTCAACTACTCCTACGTTCCAGGTTCCGAAAGAGAGCAAGAGAGAGAGTCGAACGAGCCGCTGGAATATATGCGTTCAACCTATTCACGCCACCGTATATATACGTACACTTTATGAACTCCGTATTTCTCTCACGCGTTTGTGCGCGTTTTCTGCATACATATAATACGGCACGCGCATATTTATTACGCGTATGAAAATTAACAAAACATAATTTGGCAGTGTGGAATATAATATATCAAGCTGGATATGTTTCCGACTGTTTCGGAGTTGGTATGTAGCGTACATAAAGCTCGTTTTTTTTCGAGCTCTCCGCGCGCGCGGTTTTTTTCTTCTCCCATCTTTTCTTCTTCGTCTTTTTTTTGTGTTAATATAATCAGCGTGTGTATGATGACAGTGAACACGCGAACGCGCCCATAATGAGGACGCATGCTGTTGCCTCGAGAGAGAGAGACAGAGGCCGAGGTGCACACAAGGGAGAGTACCACTACGGCAAATTATATACCATACAGCCCCGCGCGCATACGGTACGCATGTGCCCACCCATTGCTGGCCTGGCTGCGCGCATCTCGCGACTCGAATACATTGTGTTGTCGCACCGGCCGGGATTGCGGCCAGGCCCGCAATTTTCGAGTGCGTTTCCCTGAAAATTTGCCGCAAATCGCCCGTTGACAATGCATGCGTCGACGTATTATATTTTTACGCTGCTTTTGATATAAAAAGGGATTGATAATATAATTGTAAGTAACGCTCGCGCGCATTGAATTATAATAACGCGGGGTGGTCCGCGTTAGCCACGCGCGGAACCGATCGCGGCCTTGTGCCGCATTTGAGACCAAGTCATTTTGTATTGTGTGTATTTAACATTGGCAAAATTTTCAAAAAGCAAAAATTACAGAAACAAAATTGTCCTCGTGATTTACGACAACTGCGACCTTTGCAGACTCGAGTCCCCGACTGAATCTGTGCCCGATCACTTCCCTATATTATACACTTATTAAACGTGACACGATACAAGCCTGTGTGCAAATAGCTTGCTGCCATAAGAGAAGGTGGGGCAGACGGGGCAGTCTGCATTGAATGACAGAAAAAACGTATAATTGACTTAAATTACTTTTTAAAAAATGAAATGATTATATGAGCGTCAAATTATCAACTTTCAGTCGGTAATTCTGTCAAAATAAATAAAATGAGAAAATAATTGATCAAAAACCAAGTCAATCATGTGTAGATTAACTGAGCGTAGTTCACAAATTTTGCAAGATATTCTAAAATAAGCTATATTTTTAAATACTCCTGTGAAATATAATACAATAAAGACAGTTAAAAAACACTTGAATATTAAACGACACTTAATAATTGATTAGATCGACTGACACAGCCAAAATATTTGTCGTATGTGGTCAAACTGGTATGTCTTTGAACAAGTTTAAAACTAATACTTTGTTTTTTTACTGGTATTTTCATTTTCTACTTCATTAGCTGCGATCATTCTCTTCTTTCTTTTTTCATATGTAAGAATTAAGGTAGCATTCTCTAAATTTATTGGTAATATTACCAATAAGCATGAATTCGAGAGTCGCATAAAAAAACAACAAGCTTTTCACGCCATCAGACAAAACAATTTTTTGGGTCATTTGATTTCATTGAGAATTGGTCATATACATCCCAAATATAGAAGTTTATATTTTAAGACAACACACTCTAGTCACTCTCTCGCGTCGTCGCGTACACGACCCTGAATATCACCGCACGCATCATGCGTCGACCCGAAACTGTTACATTATTATACATCGCGAGACTTTATAATGGAAGGTCTGTAGTTGAGATTGCAAAGCCGGCCAGCCTCAACGCAGACGCGTGCGCGAGAATATCCATTCATTATGTGCGAGTAATTTTTTTTTTTGCTCCTCTCGTTTTTTTTTCCTTAATTTTAAAAGTTAACATGTACGCATGATATTGTGTCGTATTCACTTTGCATTAGGCGCCTTCAAAAGAGAAAGGTCGGCGCACAATGTACATTTTGTTGAATACAGGCCGTACAATATTAAAAAGTACGAAAGGAAAAGCTGCGCGCGCGGCACATTGTCACGGCTGCTTGAGCCTTAATGCGCCACCGCGCATACGTACAGCGTTATATGCGGGCCCGTATACATCGTCGGGCGCTTTTATAAAACGATTCGACAGATCCCGAAACATCGCTCTAATTAGCTGCTCTCTTACTTTTGCAGCTAATTTATGCGTGCAAGCCGCGGGGCGACGAGCAGAAAAGCGAAAGTAGCGAAAAATGTTCTACCGCTTGAATTTAGTTAAACATAACGTACAGAGAGAGAAAGAGAAAGAGAGAGAGGCAAAACTTTGTAAATGCTCAACTTGTAAGCTGTGCGCGATCTTAGCGCATCGGTGTGAAGGGCGGAATAAAAAAATCGAGCGTGTTGCCTTTTTATGTGTTAATCAAACAGTATGCACACGTGAACGCGCAAGTACAGAAGCACACGCATGTATGCATCTCTCTACGTGCCTATATAATACGTACTCCTCTCTCTCCCGGCAAAAAAGTACATAAACGCGAACGATTTTATCACATTTTCGATGCGTATACTCACTCGCAGGGTATTTAGTACGTGTGTAATATACTAAGTCATAAATCATTGATGTTACATTTATACACTCTCGTATGTGCACATGTGTGCAATGTAAAAAAAGGGTAAGCAGTCTCAAAATGTGCCGTAATTGAGGAAGTACTTGTCGTCGAAACTTATTGCATTAAAGAGAGAACTTCTGCCTTGCGTTATGTACGTATGGCGGAGCGCCTTTATATTATGCAAATACGATTAGGTACTTAATAGCGAACGAAATGAAAAAATTAATCAAATTTGCACCTGCGCCCATGCGGACAAGAACCAACGATAGCGCATCTACAGACATTTCATTCCGACGAGTTATATACTGCTGTATCGCACGTAGCGAAACGAAATATAATACTCATTGTAAGCTGTTTTTTTCAATCTAATTTTTATATTAAATTCGAGAGGCAAAAAAATACGTCTTGAAAGGTGGCTGAAGAAAAAAAGATGTGTGTCCTTCGAAAAGTGTATAGCTCGGGGATATAATGTAGTCAAGTAGTTAACTATACGTAACGAATCCTTATTAACACACGTGTGTATACGTTTTTTATTTTTGTTTATTTATTTATACCAACAGTTTAGATTTGATATACACTCTGCACCTTCGATTTGTGTATATAAAAGTACATACGTAAAGCGACTTGCCGGAAGTCGTGCGCGTATGTGTCGCGAATGGCAAAACATTTATTAACATAGAACAGAACGAGAGAAAGAGACTGGGGAGAGAGAATGAGATTGTGCAAAAGAAAACACAGTTTTAGCGACTGTAGTTTTCATTGTGAGATACACAGAAATGACGTATTTTGATTATTTCACTACTTCTTTTCTTCGATTAAATTTTAGAAACGAAAAAAATTGTAGATCTGTTCTATTTAAAATATAGCTGTGAATGGATGTGTAATCGATTTTTTTTAAATTCATTTTTTTTTATTTGAAAAGTTTGGAAAAAATTATTGACAAACAAATATTATATAAGTCTTGGTTCATCAGTGGCTCAATGATCATTTCACAGCAAAGAATTGGCAACCGGTAGCTTGTTAACTCCAAAAAATAGCTCTGCATAAGATTATCGCGCGAAATGAAGTTTCATTTCAAAATTGTATATTTTCGGGGATTCCATTCTTTAATGTGGTTTTTGCAAGTAAACATATTTAGTTTTTATTTCATTTTTGACCTGTCAGCTGTTTTCTAGTTTAGCCCACGAATGCACGACATGATAAAAAATTAAAAATATATTAAATTTTACTAACTACGAGTTTAATTTTTGGATACATGCACACCGCTAGTAATCATAAATTTTAAATTTTCAATATCAACAACTATATAATTTTACTCGTTGAGTAATGTATCAAAAATCGAAGCTAAAGTACCGACGAAAATTGAACTACGTTTTCACAAAGAGTTGAATACATTTTTTGTTGTTTGTACTTTTGCAGGAAAAGAGTTCGAACAACAATTACAACGTGTCGTGCATACTCACGCTGCCACCGTACCAAAGGCAGGGCTACGGTCGACTGCTCATCGACTTTAGTAAGTATAATAAATAATAACAATATCCGCGAGTCATTAATTTTCAAGTAGGTATACCGACGTAATAGCGGCTGGAAGGATTACGCGCATTATTGTAATCGTAATGCAGCACCTTGCCCAAATAATTCTGCGCTACGGCTTACGCGCGTGACTGATATAACTTGCGAGCATTATAGGCCGTTACGTGGGTAAAGCACCCGAGTCGTTGGAGCATCACATGCATCAGTATATTTGAACTCAAATTGTTCACGACCAAATCTTCTATCTTGAATCGGATTAATTTGACATAAGATAGGGCAAATCTCATCGGTTTCCGTTGAGCTTGATGAACGTTAACGTAAGTTGAACATTGTTTAAGCGAACGAGTCTCCAAGGATTCTCCGGTGAAATCGGCGCTCTCATTCGATATTTTTTCTCTGTCTTTTTTGTCGGCTTGCTCGTGTGCAAGGCGCGACGACCTTTGGCTCATTAGTCAGCGCGCATGCGTGCGCGTGTGTGTGCACCCATCGCAGACGCATAATAGAACGAAAAACATAAGCATCTTTTCGCACTTTATGTTTAACAAAAAATTACTGCGCACTGCTACACCAAGATAATAACAAAGCACGATGCAGTAACGCTCCCTATCATGCGTCACGTAAAGAAAATAAATCTCTACCAATACATTATCAAAGAATTTCTACTTTAAATTTTGATTATTCCTATTTTTATGTACGAATGTTTTAAAAACCATAAAAACAACAATTTCCGGAAAATTGAAAAAGAAATTATCATTTTAGGATGTTATTTTGTAAAATATTATACAAAATTCTTACGTTTTTCTCAAATCAAAGTTCAAATGCTCCTTTTTCCCGAACACTGGGCAAACACTTCAAAAACTTGAACAAATTTGAGACAATACGTTAAAGTGATTAAATTAAAGTACAGCAGTCCCTCCTTATACGCGGATTTTTTATACGCGGGTTTCGGACTTACGCGGTTTGCTGTTTGAGACATTTCTCCCTTATACGCGCTTTTTGTCCTCTGTATACGCGGATCTAAGTCGAATTCGGAGTTCAATTTTTTTGCAAGACATAACCAATTTTTTTTATTGTTGACATTGAAAAATATTATTGTGCAATAAAATCAAAATCATGGCTCCAAGTGCAAAAAAACCATCAAAACCTAAATCCAGAAAAGTTTTAAACATTGCTGATAAAATTAAAATTTTAAATCTTCTCGACGACGGCGAGAAAGTCGCGGCTGTTGGAAGAAAATTTAATGTTAATGAATCCACAGTTCGAACCATACGAGATAACGCTGCCAATATTCGAAATAGCGCTGCACATTTGGGTAAACATGCTGTACTTACTAAAGTCACTCGGAATCTCAACGTTACAAAAATGGAAGAAATGTTAATGGTGTGGCTTCAAGATCTGTTCCACAAAAGTATTCCTGTCGGTGAACGAGCTATACGAGACGAAGCTCTTGAATTTTATAATTATCTTGAAAACAGCAGCTCAAATCTACGAAGATTTATACAAAGATTATCAAAGAAAAATCAAGCAATCGCGTATAACTGACTTTTTTTCACAATAAAGTATTAAATATACGTTAATTTCATCATTTTTCTGTACATTTTTCCTAAATTTTGAGATTCCTAGGAACGCAACTCCTGAAATCCCATAAGAGCTTGGTTTCAGTATACGCGGTTTCCTCGTACGCGGTGCTTTTTTGGAACGTAACCCCCGCGTATACGGAGGGAATGCTGTATTATGATACTTTTGAAAAATTGCGGTAAAAAAATTGAAAAATGTAGTCAAGCTTGAACTTGATACATTAAATAAACTATTTTTTTTAACCTTCAAACATCTTTGACAAAGTATTTAATTAATTTCTTGTATCAGAGGTCAAGCCTATGAGCCTACGTGCCATTTTGTTAAGTTTACCTTCAAAACCCTTGAAATACTGTTTTCCACGAAAAAATAATGATTTTTCTTTAAAGCCTGCGTATATAGCCCAATCCAGGCCGTTTCGGAAAAAAATTTTTGTAACTCTTCAACTCAAAGGCCGAACAAAAAGTTCAAGGTATTCAAAGGAAAAACTTGTGCTTATGAAGTCCCAAAAGGGACAAGCAAAGGTGTTGATCAAATATGAAATTTATTTGAATGATAGTAAATTCGAGGGAAGATCTTCATTTTCTTTTATGAACAAAAATGAATTTAATAAAAAGGTTTTTTTGTGTATTTATGTCTCCTTTTCCGAATCATAAGTCTTACTTTCTGGTATCCGGGAGTGAGGTTAGCACGCTCTCATCGCAATCACTGCACCAGCACTCGCTGTGCTCGCGCGGTAACCTCACTCCCAGGGGCCAGAAAGAGGCCCGGTAATTATGTGTAAAAATTACCAAGTAAAAACAGATCGTCACTTGCATTCTTTAAAATTTTCACTTGGAAAATAAGCAAAATTTATAACATACATATTAACACAAAACGCAAACAACATTTTTGCTGCTTCTACCACATCTGAATCCATTAAGACTATAACCTAGAAATAAGATTACATTTATTCTTTATTCTGGGCTCTATTTTCGGAATTCAAAAATTCAAAATTAAAAAATTTAACGCATACTGATGTAACCGTCAAAATAACAGTACAAACTGCTGCAAACAATATGAAAAATATTAATGGTCCACTTATATCGCGAATAATATTGAAAAATCTGAAATTCATGCGAATATAAGTTATCAATTTACTACAGCCATTGGTTAGTTGATTAACCATACTTACTCGATACAAATGAGATGCGTTTTAACTAAATTTTCAAGCTGTTCATATATCCATTTGTTTCCTTCGTTTTCAACCAAAATTTTGACTTTGTATTCTTTGTCCATTTTATATAAAATATATCTGTGAAAAAATGATAGATTATAGGAATCTTATTTAACTTCAAGCCATTTTGTTAGCTTTTGTGTACTCTAATATACGAATTTTGCCAATAATGTATGCTACAGCAATACATAGAAAAGAATTCAATGAGCCTATCAATAGACCAAAAATAATTATCGGTGTTGAACATGAATTTTTTATCGTGTCTATTCTAACTTGAAAAGCTTATTCCAAGTATGACTTTTTTTATAATTTCCTCAGTCCAACAAATAAGTTGTTACATTATATATTTTCATTCTAGATTGAATAAGTTACAAGAAAAAAGTTCCATTAACGTCGATTTCTTTATCTAATTAAGTTATAATTTTTGAAAGAAAAGATTTTCATATAATACAAATACGACTTAACAAAAATTTGAAAATAATGAAAATATTTCATGTTAACAGTGCATCCAATAAAATTTCTAATCTTCCTTAATTTTATTATTCAATTAAACGAGATATGAGTTGCATTCTAAAATTATAATAAAATGCTATTTCATTTTCAATATTGTATAAATTTTTGAATATACTACAAATTTTCTCATTTTTTTCTAACGAAAAATCGTTATCTCATCGACCGCCGTCAATTTATTGGCAACGAGTTTTTTCCTCCCAGTATGTTTGTTCTTATGTTTATGCATTATCAGTAATAAAAAAACACGAAAAGGCAGCTAGCCAGATGCGATGTGTAGAAAGAGTACACGAAACATATGGAAATTTGTTGAGAATTCAATTTAGTTTAAAAATGTGCAAGCCAAAATGTCTTATAACTTCTAGATCAAAAACTCTTTTTCGAGCCTCCAGAGCTTCCTCTAAGAGGAAGAAAAAAGCTCTCTAGCTGCCGCACGAATATTGCGAAGATTTTCTACATACTCATCAGTGTACGTATTATACATCTCGATAAACCATAAACGCGTAAATATAACGAAAATAAAAATCGAAGACGAGGAAGAAAATCCACTCGTGATAATAGCGGAGCAGCGCTGGGTTGTTATCGCGCCGCAGGGCCATTAAAAGATTCGCGCGTGAGGTTCGTCGTGCGATATGCAACTGCAGCAGTAGCAGAAACATCAGAGTTTGGTAATTAAACAGAGCTTTTATTTATAGATTGCGGATGTTTCAACGCGTATATATATAGTGATCTTTACTCCTCGAGAAAAGGTACATTACCCCGTATAAGCAGTATTGGCGCGCGCGCGCGCGAACGAGTACCGTATAAAAATCTAATGAATCACATGAAAATAGCTCTCTGCCGAGCTTATACAGAGCCGGAACAATGGAATCTCGGCGTTATTCTCGGTATACGTAGCAGCGGCACTAGGCGCGTCGAGTAGGTATACGCTGTGCTGGCTGGTTGGCGCGCGATCGCGTATATATCTTCGCGTCGTAGATGAAAATCCCGCTGCCACCGCCTGCCGTCGAGATCCGAGAGAGCTTGCACAGAGCCGAGCTAGAGAGAAAGCTTGAGAATCTCTCTCTCTCTATCTATCTCTAGCTCGTTGTAGCATGTCTCGAGTAAGCTCTCGGGGGCCTGGTGCCGAGCTTGCGTACAGCACACGAAAACATACAACGATGTATGTGTGTGTGTGCGAGTCTGTGCGTTTATACGTCGCAAGCTCGCACGAGTACGTGTACGCGTTATCTGCTGCGAGCTATATAGGTGGTAGTAGGAGCAGCAGCAAAGTGCGACGCCCGGCGTCTCGCCGCATCGATCGTTTCGCAGCAGCCCGCCAGCTGTGGTGGTGGTGGTGGTCGTGGCGGCGGCGGCGGCGGCGGTGGTGGTGTTCTGCTGGCACTGGCTGCCTAGGTAGTGGTGGAAAACGTGCAACGTTGCGTTCTTTGCGTTGCTGCTGCTGCTGCTGCTGCTACTCCCGCTGCCGCCGCCGTTAGCACTGCGGCAGTGTTGCTCTCTGCAGAGGCACACGCAGACACACACAAGCGCAGAAAGAGAGAGAGAGACTCCATAGGATCGAGAGGGATGGCGATTATATGACCTCTCGTGAACTCTCTCTTTACTGCTGAGCTGCCGCTGCTACTACCGCTGCTGCCGCCGCTGCTGCTGCTGCTGCTACTCTTGCCAAGATGTCTCTC